CTGCCGCCGAGCGCCGATCCTTTGATTTTTCCGTCTCCCGTAAATTTTCGAATTATCCTCTAATTTTTGAATACTGTATTAGCGACAAAAATGCTTTTGAAATCCATTTAAAATCATTTTTAAACTTTATAATTACTTGATGCAAACGTCCCGGTTGTATCTAATGACTGTGAAAATTCATTTCTACTGGAAAGATGACCTAAACCAATAATTGCCATCAATGCTGTGTATCCTTTTGGGGGATAAAGAAATCAGGAAGGGAAGTTTTACAAGTCCGCAACTGAAGCATATAATCGCTGTTTGAAAACACGATTCAGTATTGTCTTGAGCTTTTATCGGACCCATGCGATTGCTTAATCTTTGCACGTTTCCTCAAAAGAAAATACGCGTCATCGCACATTCTCCAAAAATACGTTGCTTCAGTCGCCCTTAGAGATAAGCACTACTGTTTTAGGTTAGATAAATACATGACGTATTAGTACACTCTGTAGTAAAAGACGGACAACTAAGGGGTCAAGCAGTACCTTATGGGTGAGTATATCAACTCGAAATCAACGTCTTATTCTTTCCAAGCGATGAAACAAAGATCCCAACCTGAGCTGTATGTAGCCATGTGGCGTAGTTTTGTCTCCCCCTTACACTCCTGAAATTCCCCGGGGTTCGTTTCCCGAAGCCAGCACAGCATTCAGAATCCCCACACAAGTGGAAAAGTGAGGGCCAATTTTAGTTTTTTTTTTTTTTTGGACGACACGGGATCGAATGCAGTTTCTGTAATCGCTGGTTCAGCACCCACTTGCGGTCGACTATCGCACTTCTATCCCCTGACACACACACATACACTGCCGCCTCTTTTATCTAAGTTTTTCGCTATCTGACGTCTCGCTTTTGCCCGACTAAGCGAGAAATACTGTACATACACGCGACTCACCTGTAGCACCCAACTCCGAAGCTCGATTATGGCGTCCTCCCGTCAGATTGCCCACGGCGTCATGTCACATGGCAAACAATCGACAAGACAGGAGAGCGACGACTTGGTGCCAATTGTTCGCATGCGAGACTTACAAGAACAGTACGAGAACTTATAAAACAGTACTTCATATTAACGCTGGATCGAACAAGGCTTTCAATATGTCGGTATACGCGAGAGTTTACGGTGAACTGGACAGCTTTTCAAAGAGCGGTAAATTAATTGAAAAAAAAACCATTGAATGGCAAGAGAATGAAGGTGTCGTTTGAAGAAGGCGGAGAAAAAGTTACGAAAATTAAATCTGACTAAATACGCCGAAATCTTACTTAGATTCAAATTTAAGTTCGGATGAAACCACGTGATACACAGTACGCAATATGTTACGCAAACTATCTATCAATTGGTAAAATCCAGAAAATTCTAGAATCCCTAGTCTAGGCAAGTGGCAAAATTTTAAAAGATTTGCGCCGCAAAACATGCTGAAAAACCATACACAGTATTGTATTTTAAATTGAGAAAAATGCGCAAACACCGGGAAGTCAATTAGATTGAATGATGCGTTTCAAGTTGGATGTTATCTCACTTTTAGTTTTGTCTTTCTGGAAAAACTCCTTCCGGAATATGAATAAAAATATCATCATTTTCAAAAATATCATCTAACCAGAATTAACTTCGAAAGATCCTCAACTTTGTTTCGATGAGATTTAGTTCAATAAATTGATTTCCAGAAAAAAATAACCATACCGTATTCATTCCTATGTGCTTTTTTTCATTCAGGATTAATTATAATTCATGATAAAAGGTCATGTCAAAGGGTTCATAAAATCGTGATTCCTTTCCATATTTTCACATGGGCTCATGAATTTCCTAGACATGCGGAGACTGCGGGAATCAAACATTTATTGGGCCTTTTTGTGCTTTAAAAATTCAGCACTTTTTCACTTCGACGCATAAACATTTATTTTTCAAAGATGATTCGCGATCCAGTTGAAAGTTAGTGCAGTACCAATTATCGAACAATTCGTACTTTCCTCGAGTCATTCTCAAAGATGTTATCCTTGAATTTAAACTGCAACATCGATTTGGCTCTAGTCGAAAGCCAGGACAACATTTTTCAATCATCTCCGCTGTTTCGACCCACAAAAATCTTCGCCTCCTTTGACATTCTTTCTCAACAGATAAATTCTGAATCCACAAAACGCGCAGTTTGAACAACGACGATGACTAAGGCTTCGGGTTGTCAGAAAACGCATATTCATTTCGGGGATACTATAGTAGCTGAATTTCGGATACTGTCTAGCTGAAAACGAACAGTCGGGACTCCAGAAGAGATGACGAAACAAAAAAACGCTGTCGTGTGTCGGCAAAGCGCCCGGGCCACTCGACGCCTGTCAGATTCGTGATGGAAGACCCCGCGGCATCTTCTTGTCGGCTTCATTCGGGCCCGGGTTCTTATATTTAACCGCGACGACAGCGAGGCAACGCATCGCACCCGGGTTTTTCTGCGGTGTGGGGCAGAGACTGAGAGGGGGTTCGGATAAGACGGCTCCCCCGGGGCGGGCAAACAAATGCCGAATTTCCGGCCCCCGACTTGCAGGAACCGCGCGCAGGGGCGTGAATTCGGAATCGAACCCACCCCTTTTTTTGGTTTCTTCTTCCGCGCGATTTCTCGCTGTGAACCTGCACCTTGAAGCAGTCCGTGCGTCCGGGAAATAATATGAGGCTGAAATCGAGGAACGTTTTCAGTTCATTTACTTGTTGCGCGAGCCACAAAAAAAGGGGGGAAACTGAATAAAAAATGTCAATGTGCTGACAAACAAGTTTATAAAAAATTCCTATACAGTACAGTACTGTATTTTATTTGACTTCGACTGCCGTTTGAAGAAATAATACGCATAATTCAGTTGATTCTCCTCTCGCATTCGTTCCAAAAATATCCTACAAATAAGGGTTATTCTATTATTTTTCTACAATGTTAGGCGGAAAGGGTACTCCGGCATTCATCCAAAAGCTTAGAATATTACGAATCGAAACCAATTTTAAAGATTTTCAAGAATCGGAACATCAAGTGTTCTAAGTACAGTATTTTTTAAAATTTATATTCGACGCAAGAAAATTCGGCTTTCCCATGTCGAACTAGATCTTTTTGTTCTTCTTTACGGTACTGTAATACATCAGCCAATTTTGCTATACTGTATAAGATTCCTATAATACATCAGCCGATTTTGCTATACTGTATAAGTTTCCTATAATACATCAGCCAATTTTGCTATACTGTATAAGTTTCCTATAATACATCAACCAATTTTACAAGTAGACAAGAATATGCTTCTTCGAATTAAACAGCGGCGTAGATACCGAAATTTGACGCAGTCCTTCGCATGAAAAATAGCAGCGACGACATTTTTGTCGAGCCGGAATCGTTTTTTTTTTTTTTCGCGGACCCGACAAATTTCAAGTTCGGATGCCCTAGGGTCGTCTTAATGTCTGCGTTTGGTTATCCATGACTCCACTTGTTGACATCAACTGTCCTGTGATATACAGTACAAGTGAAAAGCAGTCTTCCTGCGTAAAAACGCCGCATCTGAGTCAGGAAAAAAAGGGGGGGGGAGAGCGAAGCACTTGAATTTAAGAAGAAGTCCCCGCACTTGGTCACGTAAAAAACCAGTGAATCGGTTGGGCACGCGATAGAGCGACAAAGGAGGCAAACAGCAGGGAACACACCCTGAATCTGGTTGCAGCAACAGTCAGGGATCTCTGCAGGTAGCCCTCCTAATGTTCTCAACACCACGACCTTTTTTTTTTTTAATACTCGATTTATTTTGCAAAAGGAGGTTTATTGCTTGCCTTTTGCGGAAGCCGACAATAAACTCTGAGCTTTGTCGCGATTCGTGGGTTGCGGATGTTGGGGGGTTTCGTGTTCACTCGCCCCAGGCTGTTACGTGGACATTGCGTGTGCCGAATTTTGGGTTTGGCTCCTTCGAAAGTCTGGGAGAAGCTAAATTTCCAAGACGATCCGAAATAGTTTTCAGAATCTTCTCATTCATACGAATGAAGGAAAAAATTAACAGCGCAGATGGTTGATGGAGAGGCTCGTAAAATTTTCGCCAGATGGAAATCCTCAGGTCTAACAATTATATTTTCAGTGCTAAAAATAAAATAAATGAATGCATCTAGGGCCTGCTTGCATTAACGACCAGTTTTTCCCAAAAAATTCGTCCTTCCGGTCAAAAATCCCGTGGAGAAAAAATGCCAAAATAAACTACTCAGTTTAGAAAAGCGTATCATGACTCTAGAAGTAAACGTGATGGAAAACTTCTCAAAAATTGTATACAATACTGTAATTCTAAAATGACTGCACAAAGAAACGCAAAAGCAGTGATTGTTCTAAAAAGACTGCTTTTCCATTTAGTTTCAATGGCGTGTAGTAATTTGACAGGGTTCATCATTTCATGGGGCTGAAGTTTTGACGTTATTTTCTTGACTGACCATGTAATGCTTCGCCTCAAACACTTCAAATCGTGATCCAAATTTACACGGTTTGGACGGAATGTCCCTGAAAGTATGGAATTTTAATGACCACTCAATTTTTGAATGAATTTCCTTAGACCTTTGGAAGAATCTCTAGCATCAGTAGTTTTTCTGCTGCATTTTCTTTGTGGCGTTGATGAGATTCTAGAGCCAATTTTTTTTTTCTGAATCGCTCGCTTTTTTCTTGATCGAATTTTCAGATGGAATAAGGCGATATTGCCACGTGAAGGTCTCGTTTTAGATTCAAATTGACCAGATAAAAACATTTCGAATCCAACTAGAAAAAAAAACGTTTTTTCGTCCACGGGATTCGCCAACACAAGAAGATAAAAGAAGACATCCATCAATCCATTCCCCTTTTCCCATGTAAGCGATTCATTCAAGGTGTTCCCCGAAAGACGCCGAAAAGGGGTTCTTTTTATTTATTTCTCCCAGTGTTGTGACTCGCCGCCGACAAGTCAAAGTTGTTTCTCCCTTTTACTTTTAAAGGAAAGGTATGGAAATGAATGTGGAAAAGAAAAAGAAAACTAGTTGGAAGGATTTCGTAGGCACACGCGAGGGGCATTTGTCACGTCGGCGTTCGGGCTCCTGTCCGCACCAACAGGGTCGGTCAATCGGGGCCCTGTTGCCCTTGTCGGCTGAAAACAATGGTGTTACCTGGCGACAAATCGGCCCCGAGATCGTGTTGTTTTGCGATCCGAATCTTCCTCGCTAGTGGAAGAAGAAGAAGAAGACGAAGGAAGAATCGTCTTTATTTTTCTCTCACCTGCCCTTTGCGGAACAAACTTCGCGACTTTTTCGCCCGCCGCGTCTTTTGTCGGCACCCGCTTCCCGAGAAACATAAATTCTCTTGCCAGCGTGTTTTTCTCAAATGCCACCCGAAAAAATTACATTCAATTTTCCGCCAAATTTTAAGAATGGATTAAACTCCAAGGTTCACGAATCGATTCTTTTTCAAGATTGGGATATCGTTTCATGCCGTTGTTTCTGCTCTTTTCATTCAGTCAAGACTAAAGAACGTCATATTTCACCAGAAAAGAACAATGCAGAAAAAAATAGAAGATTGCCCGCCAAAAAAAAAAAAATTCACCCACGATCTTCCCGTTCATTTCCATGGGACAAAGTACAGGACAGTAATTTTTCGTTCGACTCAAACCGACCGTCTTCTCAAGCACATTGAATTATCACACAAAATTATATCCCAGTAGATAAGCTCATTTATAATTTTTAAATATGGAATGAAAATTATGTTCAATTTTCCGCCAAATTTCAAGAATGGATTAAACTCCAAGGTTCACGAATCGATTCTTTTCTTTAAGATTGGGGTATCGTTTCATGGCGTTGTTTCTGCTCTTTTCATTCAGTCAAGACTAAAGAACGTCATATTTCAACAGAAAAGTACAATGCAGAAAAAAATAGAAGATTCACCACCAAAAAAAATAAGTTTACCAACATTCTTTCCGTTCATTTCCATGGGACGAAGTACAGCATTTTTTCGTTCAACGCAAATCCACCATCTTCTTAAGCACATTGAATTATCACACAAAATTATATTCCAGTAGATAAGCTCATTTATATTTCTTAAATACGGGGTGAATATCGATATCATCAACCAGCTCTCAAAAAATGTAGAATATCCAATCCATGAAGAATATGCCTGGAAAATACAAATTTCATCATCTTATGAAATAATGCACAAGTGCATTATTTTCTTTGAATGAAGATGAAAATTGCTGAACATTCAAAGAATTCCGAAATCACTGAGTGCTCTTCAGCACTGGCGTGAAGAGGATGCCACGCCTTGAGGGTTTTAATCTGCCAAACACCTAGCGGGATTTTATTGCTTTATTGGGCAAATAATAACGCCGCGGAAGAGGGATCGGCAATAAATTTTTACGACATTAAAAAAATCGTGACCTCGATCGAACCCGTTGCTCCAAGATCACGTCAAGATTAAAAGGCGGAAACTGGCACGAAACACATGCCCCAGGATTTTATGGCCCTTTTTTTCGCAGTACGCGTGGCGATTGAGTCAATCCTCGTTTTCGATTGCAGACAATCCGTAATTCGATAATATTGATTTCCGTGTTGCCAAAGTTCCTCCTCGAGTTGGAATTGCCGATTGAGATTCATTAAGGTTTTCGAATTCAGCGAATCGTATTATTTTTTTTTTCCGTCGAGGGACAATCGATTGTCCTTGTGGGAAGAATTGAAAACGATGTCTTGATAGTCGAATCTGATGTGCAAAAATCGTATTCTTGATTACTACTATAATCTCTGTGTGAATTCAAGCAGTAATGCATGTACATTTGTAGAATTCTAGACCGTAAACCTAATTTGAGGATTTTTGGCTAGCGAGAGAAAATGCTGGGAACTTTCTTCCACTTGTCTCTGAATTTTCGCGGGTTCTATATTCGAAAATTCTCCAATTGATTGATTTTTCACATGAATTTTCGAAGAGCATTTCAAAGGAATCGGCAAATAATGAACATTTCCTTGTACAGTGGCTCAACATTTTGTCGGTTGAGGGGCTTTTCGGGGAACTGAAACCGATCAGCCATCCTAAATAGGTTTAGAATTACTGGGTGAACGAACTTTTTGGTTGATGGACTTCTCAAAGCCCAATAATAAAGTCCAATAAATGACACAACTACAGAGTTTTGAGTGGAAATCCCGATCGGTCGATGTGCAGATCGTTTACTCAAATATGTGAAGCCATGTTGTGAATGATGTGATTTACATCGAGTTATTGTAGCTATGCTTTGTGCGATAATGTTGTTTGTTTTTTTGCTTCCGCTGATGTTGAATTTCCCACGTCTCATCTTCAGAAGACGGATTGGATTTTCCAGGGCGGACGAGGACTAAGGATAAGTACCGAGTCGTGTACTCCGACCAACAGCGACTGGAACTCGAGAAGGAATTCCACTTCAACAGATACATCACGATTCGCCGCAAGTCGGAGATCGCCAACTCACTCGGCCTCTCAGAACGACAGGTTCGTTTTGCCTTTTTATTTAAAAAAAAATATAAACTACTGCATTACTGTATTCTGACACATGTATGCAAAGTGTTTGCTGAACCAAATTTAGATTCGAATACAACAACAAAACTTTCAAGTTTCAAACAAAATTTTATTTGTTTCGCTGCTTTGTTCTCTATGCATCTGCGAAAGAAAAGAAAAAACTTCTGGAGTGATGCTTGAATGAACGTTGATCGAATTTTCGTTCATTCACTCCGAGAAAATCGAGAATATTTTTCTGAATGGGAATAAAAAATTTAGGCATATTCTTGAGAAATATGCATACAGTATAATAAATAGTGTTTCATAGTTTTCGATGGCATCCTAGAATATGAGTCTTTGGATTTCGAGCATGATTTTTATTCTTCACGGAAAGCCTTTTTTAAACTTGAAATTGATCATTCGGTCGATCATTTTCAAAAATGGTCGATCAGATGAAGGTTTGATGATTGCAAGAGATCCGCTTTAGCATCAATATTATTTTCAATTACAGTACTGAACGGAATGGATCCGATTAACATTGCAACTGAAAAAACGTCGGGAAAATAATTCTCTCCAGATCATCCTCATGAGTGAAATGAATGCAGGCTAGTTTTTTCGCCGATGAAAGTACCGTTAATCACATTCGTGAATTGAAACCATTGTTCCATACTGAATGGAGTGATGTAATATGGATTGGAATAACTTTTGACGAAGAAATTGTTCGTCAATTTCGGTCAAGGGGCTTTTTTGAGTCCGTAACGTGAATCCGGTGAACAGGAACGTTTGAATTCCGTGTACTGTACTGTACAGAATTTTCCCATATATGTCACCAATAAACTAATATGTGCGGTAGTTAAAATAAGTCCTCACTTGCCACCAATCAGGAGTTTCATGACATAACTGTTCTCTTTTTCAAACGGTTGCAATTTATGTTTCGAATTCCCGTCATCAGCATGGTTTTAAGGTGATGTTTTGAAGTTTTTGCATACAAATATTCTGTTTTTTTTTTGCGGAAACCCCTCGTGAACATAAGCATTCAACGCAATGTGGATGGAAAGTGATCCAGGGTAGAACTAATTACAGGTATAATTTTTTTTCGCTTTACCCTCCGTTCTGAACTATAATGCGTCTTTCAAAGACTTCGATGTGGCCAATATTCAGACATAGGCCGCACCTTTTCAGAGCACTTTCTGGATACCGAGGGCAGCCTTTACACATTCGTAAACACGGATTTAAAACTCTCATAATTATTTTTGAAAGCCGAAACAGAAAGAATTAAAAGTAGACGAAGCCCTCTAATAATAAAAAAAGGGTTTGACCCCCAGATCGCAAAGGTGAAGCCGCCAATTGAATTCATTTCCTCTCTCGCAGGTATTACTGTATTTTCATGAGAAAAAATTCCTTCAATTTCTCAACCCTCTTTTTGTCTTGTCTTTCCTTGAAGAAAGATCACCGGCATTTTCACAATTTTCTCACCGCCTCAAATTATTTGTCATAATTTGGAAAAGTACTAAGCAGAAATCCTGAATGACTTCCTCGTCTTTCCCTGTAAATACTCTTTTTTTTTTTTACGTGTGTACCTGCTCCCTTTCCTCAGGTGGCATTGTGAATCTTGTGCGATATCTTCCTTCTTTCTTCTCCCCTGAACCACGGCGTCTTATTAAGCGTGCGAACGAGCCAACAACCAGGATGGAGAGATAAAGAACACTCGTTTCTTGTGGCAAACGTCGCAATGGTTGCCGGTCTTGTCAGGAGCAGTTTTTTTCCTAGCAGCAATCTTTCAGCGATTGTATTTTTAATTATTCTGATAATTAAAAACATATAAAAGAGGGTTCTGGTGACATACTGACACCCCAAGGAGCAGAAAATTCAACGTACGTGGTCACTTTGAGCCTAAAAATTCTGCCCCATCATCATCTGGACAATGACTTGAGATTCGAACACTGCAAAAACTTCAGAACAGCGAATTGACACACGCCGACATTCAGACGCCGATAAAAGAAATGAAGGACAGAGAGGGAACTAAGACAATTGATATTATTCGAATTTGTGTTATCTCTTGAATGGATTGCGCTTTTTCATTGGACAAAAATTCGAAATTAAGCTTTTTGTAATTCAGCTGAAGACATTTGGCCAATAGCCGGTATAATCAAAGCCCTTATAATTTTGTTTTTCATTAGACTGACATTTTTCTCATGGGTCAAGCTTAATTTATCGCCTGGTAAAACCAATGGCGAGCCAATTATTGTAACCAGATTATGTCATGTTCGGGTGAATATTATGTTGTAAATTCCAGGCTAATGCGGTTTCCGTTTACGACTTCAATAAGGAGAAGTAAAACTAGGTTTTAACCGCCGATTTATTGTACAGTATACTCATACAGTATTAGACTTGAATTTTGGACATCCTAATTTAAAAATATCTGTGTTCGTCTCGAATCTGAATTTCTGCATCAGTGTTCGGATTGATCTCGAAAAATCATTGTGTAGAAAATGCGCGGGTTCAATGTTTCAATATAAAATTGAAGTTTTATTCCGTATGTCAATAAACGCGGGCAATGAATTTTGAACGTTGTTCCAATTAAAATTATGATCAATTGTCAAGCACTCATTGTTTCACCGCGTTTGAAAATACTTACACTGAATGAAATATTGAAAACTACACAATTAACGAAAAAAGGCCCCGCATATGACGAATGCAAAACGGGTTACTGCATCCGATCAGACCAAAATTTCGAAGAATAACAATGAACTTCGCTGTTTCATCAATCCTAAAACCTACACTTATACTCCGCATCCTTTCTGATTTTGAAGAAAGAGAGGAATTTGGCATTATTTAAGCGATCACCGGAGGGGAAGCCGTCGGGAGTCGGTCCATGCCATTCCTTGTAGGACAAAAGCTCGCCGCGTTTCTTGGTGCGGATGTGTGCTAACACACGTCTGCAAACAATCGGTTTCGTGTCAGAAAAACACGTTTGAGGAAGAAGGACGAGACCCGAGAGATACGTTACTTGGGTTCTGTTGCCCGGCTGACTGACTGACTGACTTGCTTGTTTAGCGGGCTTTTGTCGCGAGAAGACTCTCAGAAGTCGCGATAAACGCTTGTTCGAGGTCATTGTCGAGAGTTGCTGCTGCTGAAGTAACCCTTGTTGACACTTGGATAACCCACAGTTTTTCATTATTATTTTCCTTTCATGTCATGTGTCTTCACGATGCACACTCATACTTTGGAGGGGTTGTGTAATAGCCATAAAGAAGAAAGCGAGTCACTCTGGTTTGGGAATCCGATTCTTGGGTTCGATTTCTCCGTCCTTGCCAGTATGTGATCAGGCAGCTCAATCGTGAGGAATTGATTCATCATGCTGATTTCTTTATTTTTTCATCCTTCTCGAAAAAGAAGCAAATATAATAGAAGATGTTCTTGTTCCGCGAGAAATCAAAATTCATTGCATCAATAGTACAGTATATTTTATCTCATTTTCAAAGTTTTTCACAAATTGTGTGGCATCAATCAAAACTATCAGTTGATATTTCGACTGGGTTGGCAACATATTCGATTTTTATTTTACGTTCGGATTAAGTCTGATATTTCTGATTTTATTTAGATGGCTAACCATGAATTCTGTTGCAAACTATCAAAACTTTGTGATGGGTGCGTGAATCTTTTACACAGCATGATGCATGTGCGTTTTGCGCAAAACCCTTTAAACTTCAACGAAAAATGTGTACTCCATCACATGGATCATGGAAATCATTTAGGAAAGAGTCGAATCAGACCAAGTTTGACTGCGGTATTTTTTTCCTTATGATCGCGAATCTTTATATCAGCTACGGCAGCTTGAATATCTGTCCATTTCTTCAAGCGTCGAATATTTACACACGTTTCGATAATCATGCAGAAATGACGCAAAGAATGTAAACAGTTCAATGCATTCCCGGTTCCATTGAAATTTACTTCATGAATGCTTGAATGCTCGAATAAAATGTTTATTCGACAAAAAACCAAATGATGACAAGGCGCTCAAAATCTCAAAAACGCGTGATAAGTGTTCATCCGGTTGAAGCGGACTGATGCTTATGAGCTCGCTTTTCCTTTTTTCTTCAAGTTGATCAATTATGCAAGTACATTGAGGCACCCATATGCAGACAATTCAACATAGGGAAATTTTTTCAATAAAAAAGCATAAAAAAGGCCCAACATATGTACACTGACTCAACATGATGACATACGGTAATAAAATTGCCAATAAATTTCTCAAAAAATACTTTTATTCAGTTTGATTGCAAGAAACAGATATTTCCAACCCTATGATTGATGCAAGAAAAATTCTTTGTCATTTCTCCCATCATTTTCCCACCCATTCAGCTAATTTAAAAAATTAACCATTTCATAGAGGGACTTGCTTCTCTCTTTGTGAATTGAATGTTATTTTTGTAGATGCCAACATTTCAATGTACAGTACAGAAATACACTATTCAATGCTCTTCTTGAGTTGAAAATATATTCACTGAATCAAATTCAAGTGGCAACAAATTTTTTTCATGGAATTCTGAAGAATACTTCTTTCATGAAACACCAATTAAAAATTGTATAATGTAAGTCTATGGGAAAGCAAGACTTGAATTAGGGCCACTCTTGATGCACCAATTACTTCCGCATCTGGGCGTCTCACTGTAGTCCATTATGCGAGGCGTTCATTATCCAGGTTACCCGTTATTAAAATTCGAGCTCCGTCTCCATCTCCTTCCGCAGGTGAAAATCTGGTTCCAGAACCGTCGAGCCAAGGATCGGAAGCAGTCCAAGAAGCGCGAAGAGATGGCCGCTTCCGGCGGCGGTGCTGGCGGCAAAGACGCGTCCAAGCAGACGCCCGCCTTGTTGTCCCAGGAGGCGCCAGTCGGCGCCGCCCCGCACAACCTGCCCATCCTGCACGCCCTGCCGCCGCCGCCGCAAAATGGACTTCACCAGCACGTGCCGGCCTACGACGCGCCCAAGTTCTCCATCCGCCCACACCCACAACAACAGCACCATCATCATCATCACCATCAGTTCCTGCACGGAATGTCCCTGCCTGTCGTCGAGGATGTCAAACCCCGCAGTCCCGTCGGCATCAAGCAAGAATAGAAGAAGCAGAAGCAGTTAACCCTTTACACCGAGTTTGTTTCGTCGTCCTCGTGTTGTGCCACGGGGTTTCTCGAAAGAGTCCTGCGATGAGTCACCGAAGAAACCCGTATTTTTTTCATTTTCATTGCAGCCAGATAAAGACCTGCTGGTCGATGTGTATTTCAATAATTTTGTGGGTTTTTGGGTGGTACAGAAGAATTCAATTCCGTTAAAAGAAAAGCATATGAAGTTTACATACAAATTCTTACGATCGGGAGTTTTTTTTTTTCAAGTCACCAAACGATTTTTTTTTTTCATTTCAGGCTTGTGAAACAGGGTCGTCAGACCCCTTTTTTTGTTCACTGGCATGCATGAAAAATATCCCGTAGGCTGAATATACTGTAATGTTAAACTGACCAAAGAATCAGGGATGAAAAAAATGCCGTTATTTTAATATTTTTAAGCTCCAGTTTGTTTTATAATAGGCATCCTCGAATATTTCGCTCATATATTTTCTGGACTTAGCTGGAAGTGGGTCGCAATGTTTTATCGCAAATTTTTTATGGCCTTCTTTAGAAAAATCACTGACCCGGTAAGTTCAAAAAATATTCTTATAACTCACTTAATTAGCAGCTGACCCGAGAGAAAATAAGTGCTTATGCGCATTTTTCTTTGGCCTCAAATTGAATCGTTTCCCCGTAATTTTCTGGGCCGAATTATATTCATCAATTGTAATTAAGCTGCTGTGTAGGGATGAAGGAAGTGTTTCATTCGGCTTCAATGCAGGTTTCCAGGGGATTTTTGCAAGACTTTTGAGTAACCAGCGGTACTTCGAACGCTTCTATCGTCGCGGACGTAGTGTTTTAGGGTGGGTCCGAAGAAACCCCATCCAGGGGTTGTGTGGAGGATTCTTTTTTTCAAATTTGTTTGTTGTGGAGGGGGGGTTTGAAAGTGTTGAAAGTTCGTCGCACGTGTGTGCAGGACTCTTCGTTTCTCTTCTCTAATTGTTCAGGTTTTGTGTAAACAGGAAAAAAAAAGCGAAAGAAACGACTTCAAAGTTCTTATAGGCATTAACTTGTTCTTCCCTTCCAGTAGCTGCGAGTGAGTGTGGGATATATCCATTAATCATTGCCACCGAAGTTGTAAAACTAATCGGTCTGTTTTGCTCTTTTCCTCATGTTGGAAAACATGAGCAGGGGTGGACTTTTTTTTTTTTTGTTCACATTCGGGAAGTTCAATTTTTGCTTCGTCTTTGCTTTCCGGGAAGAAGCAAATGTCATTTTGAGAAACTGTGGACGTTTTCCTTTTTTCGGGAAAATTGCGCGAAATTCTTGTGCGAATGATTTTTTTTTTTTGCGATTTCGGTCGAATGTTTTTTTTTTTTTTTTTTCTCGCGGCGCGACGTGTTTTTCTGATGATTCGAAATAGGGTTGCTCGTGTCAAGCTGAACTTGCGAAAATAAAATGGAGTTGTGATAGCTACACCAACTTCTAGTTATTATCATTAATTTTCAAAAAATGCATCCTAACAGTTACCAATATCCTGTATTAGAAAATGTGCTGGGGGGTCACAGGAGTTTATGGAAACTGGCCGATTCATTCGTTGCTCAAATATATACTAAAGTAGTTTTTTATCTGCTTTTATTTTTTAGTTCCGAGATTTTAGATTCTGATGAACTCATAGAAAAGCAAATGTTCGATAATTACCATATGCGTATGCGCAGTACAAAAACAGAGGCAGCAATCTGCTTCAGCTCGATTGATTTTTATCAGATGTTTTTGAATAGTTACATTTTCCGCAAACTTGAAGAATATTTGTTGTTAACCTTCTTTCTGGTTTAGAAAAATTCGCCTATTAAGGTAACAAATCCATGAAAATTTACGAAATTTCAAGAAACTGATACTATCTATGGTCAAACCTCTTGAAGTCGAATTTCAAGGGACCAGCAAAAATTCTAATAAGAAGGTTTTTATTTAGTGAATCAAGCATTTTTGTTGTGGAAAACATCAAAGAACTGCGGGAAATTGTAAATGATGACAACCTGGACCTTAAATAGCTTCACCTTGAATGATTTGAAAAGATGCTTGGATCAGTTTGTAAGTTAACAAGACACAGGATTGTCAAAACAAGATTTCTTTTGATCTTCCTACGATTATAAAATCACCGTGTGCTGCGTTTAAACAGGATCGAGAGGGGAAATATCGGGCGAGGTTTTCTGCAAGGAATTCTTTAAATTCA